TAAGACACTATTTCTTAGGTGATGTGATAGGTGGGGTCCAAATGTGAGTCCTAACCATGCATATTGGTTAGAACTCAATTGCTTTTGGATGGCTAAAATTTAATAGTATACTGTTGCTTTTTTACTTTTTTTGATGAAATGTTTCTCTCTTATATACACACAGGGACTTGACTGATGAGAAAACTGATACCCCTGAGAAAGTGGGCTTCCTAATTTAAAATTCCAGTATGAGACTTGTCTACCCAGTTGCCAGACCTGAATGGGCTTCCTCCTGCCCCCATGTTCCACAGGTCCTTGAAGAGCAGAACTAAACAAATGTCATTTTCAGACAGCTCAGGTCCATCCCCCACTGTCTTCTCTACCCCTCAACGAGAGAGAGCGAGAGAGTGAGTGAGAGAGCGAGAGAGAGAGAGAGAGAGAGAGAGAGAGAAAAGAGAGTAAAGAAGGGGCTGGATCACTCATGAAATTCTTTCCAAAGAGAGAAATCACCTTTCCCCTGGGCAGAGAAAATGCGGCAGTGGAGAGGAGCCAGGGGATCTCAGGAGTAGAAAGACATGTTCTCTCCTAATGAGAGTTAGTGAAGATTGTATGACTTAATGTAGGTGAAACACTTAAGGCCTGATATCGAGTCAGCATTTGATTAATGGAAACTTTTAATTAGAAATCCATGGGCTCCGTTCTGGTTCCAACTCCTCCATTAACTGTGTGATTTGGGGCAAGAGAACCTATCTATCTTGCTCACTGCTGAGTCTTCAGACCAAGATTAGTGCCTTGCATAGTACCTACAATATAACAATAACACTAATAGTTTGTTGAAAAAATTAATCACCTTTTCTGAATTTGTTTCTTCATTTATAAAATAAGGAATTTGATCTTGATACTTAGGTTTCTTCTGTGTTCTAATGATCTAATCCTATAATAGGGAGACTCAGTAAGTCTGATACACCTCTGAGAGTTTGTCTTGGTTCTAAAAAAAAAAAAAGACAAAAGGATTTGCTGCCAGCATTAGCATTTAGTGTTGCATATTGAATTCCAATATTCAGAAAGGTTAACCCACTTAGAATAACAATATGAGTGTAATTCTCCTATAATGATAGGTTTAATTGATTTCTTTCTCCAAATATGCTGGTCAATTTTAATAACAGTGGCAGTACTTTTTTCTCTTCTTTCTATGTGTTTTAAAAACGTTCATTTGAGGTGATGGGAAGCTTGTCTCCATAGCAATGCTCCTCTCCGGTCCTTATTTTTAAAGTTTGGGACTTTTAGGGAAAGAGATTCAGTGCTGCCATGTATTCACATAATTGTTTTAGAAAATATGCTCTTTCTCACTCAAAAGCAAAACCATTTTCCAGTTATTACCACACCAGAGATGAGAAAATAGTCTCAGATTGTAATATGATCTGGGCACAAAGTTAATAACTTGCTTTGTCTGGATTTGATCATTTTCAAAGGTGCTTTTGTATCTTATCATTTTAAGGAGCTGGTACATATAATCACAGACCCATCATCCCCTAGACAGTCAGCAAATTAACTCACTCCAGAAGAGGGCATGCAAAACAAAACAAAACAAGCCAGGAATATGTAGGTTTTCATTAGAAAATATTAAATTTTACATTGGTGAACAAAAGCAAATATTCTAAAACATTTCTAAAACCAAGTAAACTGCAAAAGACAGCGCACACAAACTTGAACAATTCAAAAGGCACAATGAAAAATATCTCATTAGGGAAATGGCTTCAGCAACTCAGAAAATAAAGTTTCTTCAAGCTTCAGATGCCCTTTGTGTCCTGCTGTTTGGGGTTGGAGTCTAAAAGACAATCTACTTTGTGTCTGACTTATTTCCCTGTTAGACAGGAACTGGAATTTGAACTTTGCTCTCCAAAAGCCAAAGGCCAACTAATTTAGAAGGAGACTCGCCAAATCAATGATGGTTTCTTCTAGTTTCATTAGTTCTGTCTAAAGTGATTAAAGAGCTTGATTCCCAGATAAGCAATGATTCTGATTGCTATTTTTACAAATCACATTAATTTCTATACTCAGATCTGAGCACTCGCGACATTCCTGAGACAAGTCTGGATCCATGCAGCATTCCAACCCTGAGTGCTTTTCAAGTTTCTAACAGAATCCTGTGCTGATGAGTGATGATACCTTTATTGTAGTAGCCTCAAGGTGTGGAAGTTGTTTCCTGTGGCCTAGGTACAGTCCAGCCCCTCCATTTGTTGAAACATCTGCAAATAGTTATTTCATTTTAGAGACTTCTGACCACAGAGAGGCTCCCATCTGGACTGCTTCCTTTTTCCTTATTGCTCACTTAGAGCATCAATGATCTAGGAAGACACTCATCAGGAGAGAATCTGGGAAGGCCTAGGCAGCTCCCAGAAGCTAGTTCTGATGTGTATTCTCGCACATTGATTAACTGATTCACTGGAACCATTATCACTCACTGGGTTGTAATGCGAACGAACATCAGTAAAGCGCAGTCTCTGTCCTCAAAGGAGAAACAATCTATTGCTGGTCATATTTGTCTCAAAGTAACAAATTCTATTTTTTTGCTTATAGTAATAAATTATATTTTAAAATCTTTTTTGTGTGAAAGTCTATAATTGCTTTAATTCTCCTATTCCTCTTATTTTTGGTGGTTATGGGGCTTATGGAATATTTTATTCAAACTGTTTCCTTCTTTAAAACAAAGCAACGTTCTATAATCAGTTAACTTTTAAAATTCCATAGGACGTCAAGAGTTGGTGGCTCTTGTAATACCTGTAATACCAGCACTGAGGTAACTGAGGCAGGAGGATTGCCAGAAGTTCACGGCCATCCTGGGTTATGTGACAAGACAGACGCTCTTGGGAATCTTTATTTGATAAGTGCATAGTGAGTGGCATAGTGCAGAGGAATCAGATCCTTTCATGTTTTGCTTGCTTTAGGCCTATGTGTTAAATGACAAAACTGACTGCTTAATTACCATTGGAAACCATATTTTTAAAGGTATCAATTCAGTTGGATCATTTTATGCTTTTATATGACATTAATTCCACATATTTTATATATTTATATTATGCACACATTTGTACATTCAAGTTGCATTTAAACTCTTATGATAATGAAATCATGTAAAGATAGAATTAAGTCTGTCCCTAGAGTTGTTAAGCAATACATTACACCTCCAAAGAACTAGAGATTTAAGGTGTATCCAGGGAGTGGCCCATCCACTAAGGATTTCAAAACCACATGGTTCTTCAAGTCCTGCTGGGGCTCATGTATTTGCATGTCTCTCCTGCAGGAGTTTGGAATAATCAGGTCACTACACCCTGACACAACAGTCTCTATCACTCATTGTTTGTACATGATGTCATATCAACAGACTGCCGAGAAGTTAGCAACGGGAAAAAGAAAATGCTTTAAACCCAAGGCTATTCAGAGGGTTCATCAGAATACATATCCTGTATCAAATCCTCTGATAGAAAATCCTACCAAGGAGCTCAGCCAAAAAGGCTGAACCACATTTAATGCATCACACTCTCCAGTGCAATGCAAGTCTGAGGCTAGGTATTGTATGACCTAACGTTCTTCTAGCTTGCTAAAATCTCAAAGGCACGTTGGTGCCCTGACTCTACATTCTTTTTTGGTATAGAAAATGTCGTCATTCCTTGGCTGTTAGATATCATCCATTTACCTAGATATTAATGAGACACTTTGGAATGTGCTAGAGATTCACAGCTCCATCAGCCAGGGCTCCTCCCAATCTCCTAGCTCCACTTTGTCTTGGGACTCGCTGCACAGCAATGTTATTAGATACAATTGGAAATAAATACACATCAGTGGGCAGAGCGGAGTAGGTGGTCTGAGAACTCCCAAGAGTCTCAGCTGAAGTCTGCAGCTTCATGGTGCCTTTGCTTAAAAGAAGGTGCCCCTTCTTTTTTAAAAAATATTTTATTATTTTCATGTTATGTGTATGTGTGTATTACCTGCATGTAGGTAAGCACCCATGTCATGCAGTGCCCACTGAAGACAGAAGAGGCTGTCGGATCCCCTGGAACTGGAGTTATGGACAGTTGTTAGCTGCCATGTGAAGTAGGTGTACCCATGTCATGTAATGGCCACTGAGGTCAGAAGAGGGCATCAGATCCCCTGGAGCTGGAGTTACAAACAGTTGTTAGCTGCCATGTGTGTGCTGGGAATCAAACCCAGGTCCTCTGCAAGAACAGTCAGGGCTCTTCACCTAACCACTAAGCCATCTCTCCAGCCCCAAGACACCCCTTCCTAAGGTGGATGCAAAGCATATATCTTGTCAGAAGCTAGGGCTAGAGTTCAGTGTCTACCCACCTCCTTTACCAGGCATCAGCATGCAGTCAGTAGTCTGAACAACAGTGTGGAACCCTGGCAAGTAGGGTCACGTAGCCTTCAAGTGATGACAGAACACAATGAGAAAAATGAGGGTAACTATGGTAAAAATGAAGGGAAGGAGAGCGTGGTATACCTTTGCCGTGTAATTTTCTAGATTTGGTTTTGAACCCAAGGCCCCACTCGTAAATATTCTAGCAGTGAGCCAAATCCCCAGCCCTGTCCTATGATTTTCTAAATAGAAAATATTAAGGACTAGGACCTGCCTTCTGGTTCCGGTTAAAATTGGCTAACTGCACTATCCTGAGCTTACTTTCAGTCTCAGAAAGCCCCTCTCTGGTGATGACTTTTCCTTCCCTTCCCAAGTGTCTTTTACCAAAACCTTCAAGCAGCACAGGTTTTTATATTTACACAAAGATGTATGCAAGGAATTAATATTCCTACATTGATTTGCATTTAAATAGAGACCTTTTAAACATTAAGCAATCAGTTTTGTCTATTCACCACAATATGCTCCACTATAACAATGCCTGACACACAGGGGGTGTCAGTAGGTTCAATAAATTTCTAATCGTAGACCTTCAGGCACTCAGCAATGGAAAATTATATCAGGAAGATCTCTTGCTTTCAAGATTCCATGTAGCAAGAAAAGAGCGACAGAGGCTAGAGTCATGCTTGGGTATTGGTTCTGTCCTTGGTGTGCCAGAGTCCTCGAAGAGTAACTGCTGACCTTAGTCACTGGCTGTGGACCTCATGGCACAGTCAGTCAACAGGTTAGTGACATGCATTAGAAAAATAAGAAAGAAAAATAAAGAGCAATCAAAAAGTAGTTTTCAGGGGCTGGAGAGATGGCTCTGCAGTTAAGAGCACTGGCTGCTCTTGCAGAGGATTGGATTTGGTTCCCAGCACCCATATGGCAGCTAACAACTATCTGTAACTCCAATTCCAGAGGATCTGACACCCGCTTCTGACCTCAGTGGGCATTACATGACACAGCTGCACTTACACACATGCAGGCAATATATCCATATACATAAATAAAATATTAAAAAAATAGGTTTCTATTAGGTACTTCATGGGTCATAAGTCTAAACTCTCTTAGAAAAATGTCACAAATATTATTAATAGCATACTAATGCTATGAGTATCTGAATAATGTCTGTAATTACATTATTAATGTATATTATTACTATGGTACTATGGATTGTTTCAAGTTTCCATTGCACAGCATGAAATACTTATTGAATATTTATTGTGAAGCTTCCATAAGCCAAATATTTTATGTTGGGCTACAACCTCATACAGTATATGTCAGTATTTGATAGAATCTAAACAAATAAAATTAGCAGCAGAGTGGCAAACACTATACTTTTGAAATCCTATATATAGTTTCCAATAAGTGAATACATATCTTCTTCCTACAAATATCTCAAAGCACCTGTGGTAAGGCACAGTTGCCTCCCTAACCAGAATCATTAGTCAGTGTTTGGGGCCGGGCTGCGGGGGTGGGGGGTGGAGGGGAGGCACTATTCACTTATGACTTTAGTTCATAGCTGGAGTCATTGGGGTATTTCCCTACACATTCATTCATTCATAATTTTAATTTGCTGCCACGGGCTAGGTACTTAGGTTTGTCTTTACTGAACTCACATCATAGGCGCATAACAATCTGCAGAAGGCATCCTTATGAAATTCAGAGTAGAGATTTTTCTGCCGGGTGGTGTTCAATTCTGATTCATAAATGACTATCAATGAATTGTATATATACTAAGTAAATGACTAAAATACAAAAATTTGACACATATACTCTCATATGCATAAATGTTATTCACATATCTATAAGGCTTTTTTTTTGACGGTTTCCTGGTGTAGTTGAATACTAGCATTTTTTAAATGTCTAATAAGATGTTTTCTCCACGTTTTATTGTTGAGCAGGCACAAGATGTTCAAGACCATGAAAAGATGAATGTAATGACTTCCTTGTTAGTTAGGGATTGAAATTTTTTTCCAGTTCATTGTCCTTTTAAGTAATCCGTTTGTAGCCAGGCCCTTGCCGAATTCACAATTATTTCCTTTGCTAAACCATGCCTCCAGACTTGAGAGCATAAATTAAATTTCACGCACACAGAAGAAAATCGTGTGTTCTATTAAGCGAAATAATATAAACAAATTAAAGGTCCTTTTTAATGACCTTTGATTTCCGTGATGCAGTGATCTTTAAAGTTACCTACTGGGCACAGAGTAAGGCACTGATTCGCAACGCTGGTTTTCAGTGTGTCTAGAAAGCTGGCTAATAGAATCCAGCTCCCCTAGCCTTGCAAGTTGCATTTTGTGTGGTTTTCTTCTCCGGTTCCTCTTGGAAGAGTTGTGATTCCCCCACCACGAGCCTGGAAGGGGAGGGTCCACCCCTGACTAGCCACCGAGCCATGGCCACCCTGGCTAAGCCTGCGGCCGGCAGGGCGGCGGCTGCGTGACTGTCTGCACTTCCCCGCCCCGACGCTGCGGTTATGCAAACTGATCTCATCGCAGCTCCTCACGACATGCGCTTCCCGTCGCCTGCACGCGGCGTAGCGTGAGGCGCCCGCCCCGAAGAACTTTGTGCAGAGAAGCCGAGCCTGGTCGCCACGATGTCCCGGATCCCCGAGTTCATCCTAGAGAAGTCATCCCCCGCCTCCCGGTCACCATGGCAAAGCCTTGCCGGCCCCCAACACTGTGCGCCGGGTCCTCCGCGTCCCCAGTTCGATGCGCAGCTGCCTGGGGTCCAGAGCCAGCAGATGAGTCGGTTGCCTGGCTACGACCCCCCCCCCCCCCCACCCCCCCTCCCCTCCCGCGCCC